GTTTTTGGCATTATATTTAAGAATCGTTTCCTAAGTTCAAAGTCGTAAATTGTTTTAAAGATTGCTTTAGGTGCTGACAGGTGGTGTGTGGTTAAGGACGCTGGACTCCCACATGGCCAACCGTGGTTTGAGTCCCGGATCTGGCAGCTTGCTTTCTCTCTCTCTCTCTCACTCTGGTCAAATTAAAATAAAATAAAGTTATAAAATGATTCTTTAAGAAATGTCTTAATTGTAATTTTAAAATATGTATCATAAAATTTACTATTTTTTTAAAGAATTACTCACTTTATTTTATTTATTCATTCATTTGTTTGACAGAGAGAGACACAGAGAGAGAGAGGGGAAGTGAGAAAGCAAGCCACCAGGTTCGGGACTCAAACTGTGGTCTGCCGTGTGGGAATGTCCAGCTCCTTAACCACCATGCCACCTGCTGGTCCCAAAATTTACTCTTAAATGTATAGTTTGATAGCGCTGACTACATTTGCCTGGTTATGCACCCAATCTCCAAAACTCTTCTTTTTGCAAAAGAAACTCTATATGCCCTTTTAGGCTCTCCCCGTTCCTCTGCCTCCAGCCCCAGGCAACCACGTCCCACTTCCTGTCTGTAAGTTGGGCTACTCTAGAACCTGGTGTAGGTGGAATCGGACGGTATCCGTCCTTTGTGACTGGTTTATTCCACTCAGCACAATGCCATCCTCCAAGTACAAGTCACGGTTTCCTCCTTCGGAGACTGAGTAATATTCCACTGTGCATATATACCACATTTTCCTTTTTCTCCTTTTAAAAAAAATTTCCAGAGAGTGTATGTACTCTCTGGAGAGAGAGAGAAACAGAGACTGAGAGTGGGAGAGAGGGGAAATGAGAAAGCACCTCCCGTAGGGAACGCTGACACCATAACCCCTTCTCCTTCATTTTCCCCTCCTTCTAGGATTTTGGGCATGCACACCCACACGACTGGTGTGTTTCTCAAGCTACTGGGTCCAGACTCAAACCATGCAGTTGGCCACAGAGGATCCGCTGCCTTAACCCCCAGACCCCTACCCCCAACCACATTTTTGTTGACGGACACTTGGTTGATCCACCTTTGGAGATTGTGAACATGAGTTTACAAGTATCTCAGCTCCTAAGCTCAGCTCTTTTGGTCAACATCCTAATCCCCTCTTGGGGCAATCATGCCTGGTGTGATTTTCAAGCTGCGGGTCTGGGACTCTAACCATGGTCAGCTACGTCTCCTTAACCACCATACCACGGGCTGGGCCATGAAGCTTTTTTTCTACTGAGGATTCTTATTCTAACATGTGTTTTTGTTTTAAAGAATTATTTTATTTAACTTCATTTAATTATTTGTTTGTTTGTTTTAATTTGAAGAGACAGAGAGAGAGTAGAGAGAGAGAGAGCCACCAGGTCCGGGACGCGAACCACACTCAGCTATGTGGGAGTCCAGCACCTTTAACCACCATGCCACCTGCCAGCACCGGTGCAGAGTTATCTTCTTCATTTCAGTCGTATGTTGATCTCACATCTTGCCATCTTGTCGCTATTAGCAGCTCTAATGTATTTCGTTTGCAATCCTAAGGTTTATTTATTTATTTAAATTTGACCAGAGAGAGACAGAGTGAGAGAAAGAGAGAGAGAAGAGACAGAGAAAGTCGCCAGGTCTGGGACTCAAACCACACTCAGCTATGTGGGAGTCCAGCACCTTTAACCACCATGCCACCTGCCAGCCCCGGTGTAGAGTTATCTTCTTCATTTCACTTTTTGGATCGCGAGTTCTAGTATCTTCAAATGCAATTGATTTCGTATGTTGATCTCACATCTTGCCATCTTGCTGCTAT